AGAGCCCCATCATTGTTCCAATAATCAGTAGGAAATGAGAAGGGAGGGTACTAAAAATGGACGAATGGGACTGATTAGCGGGTTCTTCTCCGTTGGAGTACATCATCATAAACACACCACCTTTTTAGCTAATCTCATTTCCTATTGTAACGTCTATTCATCATCCCATACTCTTTCAATTTTTACCTTTTTACCGTTATCTTAACAATTCCATATTACTTTGAATTTATTCATATTTATGAAAGCAAGACAAAATGGTAAAAGTAAAACTCTATCCGACATTTTCAAGATTACAACATGATTACAACATAAGATAGTAACTTTGTTATTGTGGTAAAGGTTTTTTTAATCGATAAAATTGAGGAAGTGCCCTTTATATAACAAGAAAATATAAAGATAACAAAACTAACAAATATTTCTAAAAAAAAGGATAAACATATAAAAAGAATTGATACAAGTAAATATTATTCTCAATATTCCTCCTCAGGTTGGAGCGTGGAGATTCATAACTGTGACATCTCAAAATTTACAGTTATTTTAAAATTTTTATTTATGATTAGTTTAAATAAAAATATTTCTTTTATTACAGAATTGGTCCCATAATTATTATTTCAATGTAAGATAATATAAATAGTAAACATTTCTGAAGAAACGTTCGATATTTATATTTTTTTTCAAAACTATGGATGTCATAACTTATATAAAACATAAGCATAAACGGATTTTGCATCAATATTCAAGCAGTCTACGAACTCCTTAAATCTCTTGGCAAATAATTATATAACCTATTAGTATCTTCGTATTGCTACCTGTGATACAAGAAACTAAATGGATTAGGTTGAGAAATCTGATGAGTATATAAGGTTTTCAACCCACAATATTATAATATTTAATTATATATTCTTCAGCATTCAAAAAACCCAATTACCTCACTCCCGATATTCTCACTCACTAATCCTGATATGATGATCTCGAGCGATCTTTCTTAAAGGACCTTTATCAACAGACATCTTCCTAGGTGATTAGGCACAATTGTATGATAATACTTTGGGTAAACACGACAACACAACAATACATTAGTACTTTGGATAGTCATGACGGGTACAAAAGTACAAAAGTACTTGGGATAGGTACAGCTGTACAAAAGTACTTGGGATAGGCACAATAATACAAAAGTACTTAGGATAGGCACAACAGTACAAATGTACTTGAGATAGGCACAACATTACAAAAGCACTTGCGATATACACGACAGACATGACATATTATTTCGCATGGCTTTTACTAACCTATCATAATCGCTATCTCACACAACCCTATCAAAAACTCTCACTTGTTATGTTGCATAACCCATCACTAGCCAATCATATTATTAAGTATGATAAATATATGGTTAAATCAAGAAACAATCATATTGTACGACTACACTAAACACAACAAAGATAACACACATATCAATTAAGCATTTAGAATACTTGTATTTATGTATAAGTAGAAAGTAACTATGCACTCACATGACTTAGGTGTGTGAGTGGAGAATTCGGCAGCGTTCTGCCAAACTCGATTTTTCTTCTGACGTGACCTGCATATGAATGTCACTAAGTCTCAATTTAATATTCCTGGTGACTAATGATAGTCAACATTCCCCACTAATCCCAATGTCTACACTAATATTTATCAAGGAACAACCATGTAGGATTTTATCAGAGGTAGGGTTCGTCTAGTATACAAAGTATACTGTCTGGAAATCCCACTTTAAAGGTCTTACTAAATCCAGCCTAGACATCATCACCGTGAGTGGATCAATCATTATAATGAGTTGGAATTACTGATAAATCAAAATTATATCTTCATAATAACCATTATGGCTATAATTAAAAGTTAAACTTGAATGAAATAAGTGTAGCTTAACATACAGAGTATACTAATGAAACTAGGGAATTAAGTGGGTGGAAATCTGATTCGAGAGCTCCTAATTGCTGTCTATGAGACATCACAAGGATTCTCCGACTAAAAATATAAGGGAGAAATGGCATAAAAATGAGAGAAATTGATAGAGAAGTGTTTGAAGGGTGTGATAGTGGACTGGATTTTGATACCTATTTATATATGATTTTGGATTGCACGCCGCACACCTAGTCTCATGCGTGCCGCGTATTTGGTTGGAAGTGATGAGATGTTGATTTCTCTGTGGTGCCACGTGTCGCATTTTAAGTGGAGTGATAGTGCGCGCGTCACACTTTGTTGTTGCACGCGAAGAATTTATGTTCCCTAGAAAATTTGTATCTTCTTTATACAAGCTCTATTTTTTATGGGTTTTATATCCACGCGTAGCTATCAATGAGATTTACCACTTTCGTTTAGACTTCGTCGGCTAATTTTTACTTTATTTTTAAAGTTACATTTTTAATAGGCTTAGACTATTAAATTCTGTTAAAATTTCATAATGCTCTCATCTTACGTTCGTTCTCGACTGTATTTATACTATCGGTTTTCTATTAACGAGATCTTCGATTCTCGTTTAGTTTGTTTCAGCTAAAAATCAACTGATCTAAAATTTGATTTCAGAGCTATACGTTGCTATGTTGAATCATAGAAAATTCATAACTTCCTCTAATGAAGTCATATTTAGACGTTCTCTATATGCACGCTGTTGTGATATGCATTTCGAGCTTAACTCCATTTGTTGTAGTTTCGTCTGATTTAAGCCTGAAAATCACAACAAATAGAGAACCAACGTTAGTCGACATCCGGGAGTGGTTTTCGGAACGAGACTTTGAGGGTCTAGTTAGTAATCGGATGAGAGAATTAGGGTTTAGCTTCAGGGAGAGAATAAGGCAATCCCTTCTTCTGGAGAAGAAGGATCTTTTTTATACTTGTCATCGTGGGAGCACATCCCTGACAATACCTTTTATCTTGTCTGAACCGGCAGGATGTGGAGGCACAGTTATTTGCTATTGGTGCAGAAATATTGGAGCCTCTTCTTCTGAGTTGGCCCTTGGCGCTAGAGTGTCAGGGTCTAGATGCGAGGCCGCAAGGGAAAGGGCCCGGGCCTTGTACTTCTGTTGGGTAGTGACTGTTAGCTATGCCATCCTTTAGATAGCCGTCTTGTTATCTTTGCTTTATTCCTAGAGGGATACATTGAAAAGTCCCCTAGGCTAGTAAACAACATTGTTATCTTGGGTAGATGGGTTATTCTATCTTAGACCAAAACACGTGTTCAGCTAGGAAGGGTCTGATGTTCACTATTGTGATGGGGCCATCTGCGCAGACGGTTTCATCATTGTCACTATTCGAATTTCCCTCCTTGCATTTAGGACTTCCCTTATCACAGCCAATTTCCTTTTCTTTGCTCAACTACCTCTACAATTGTCTTTGTATTCACTTTGCTTATCCTCTCTTTCATCTTGTTCTTGTTTATCGGAATTCATGGCGACACCAACTACTGGAATCAAGTTGATGCCTCGCGAGTTTGAGGTTCTGCAGGCCCGATTCGTTTTTCTTCCTAAACATGGTGTGCAATATCCTCGAAATGGGGAGGTTATTTTTCATCCGCCGGAAGGAAAAGTCAGAGTCCCCATCCCGATCTTCGAGGTAGTCTACGGTTGTCGACAACCGACATTTTTGATGAAATCATACGTCGATGTAACTTCTCTGCGGACGATCTAACTCCCAATGTTGTCGACAAAATAGTTGGTTACGAGATGGCTTGTTGAGATTTGGGCGTTCTTCCTCAATTATGGGCTTTCAAGTACTACTTCAACTCCTCAACCTAGTCTGATGTGTATACATTCTCTTAGCAATGGGGGTGTCCATGCATGCATCATAAACTAGAAGGGTCACAAGAATAACTGGCAAGACAAATGGTTATCGGTGAATGACATCTTGGTCGGTTTTGGCTATCCTCACAGAATCACTTTCTCCGACCGGACACCTTAACTCTAGGGTACTAACGAAACCGTGGTGAAAGCATTGAATATCATTTCTTTAAATGCGGAGGATTAGGAGGATTATATGTTGGTTGCGGTCAGGATGAGACCAAGCCGCGCCTGGAGGGTATGTTGGATGATGCCTCAGTTCGTCATGGAGAAGAATGGTAAGTGTGCATCTCTTCCCCCCTTTTGTGTATAAATCTAGATGAGGGGTTGTTGAGGCTTTGTTGATCCCCTTATGTATGAGATTTGTTTTTTGTTTCAGGTCGCGAGAGGATGATTCCTTTCGAGATGGTCCTGCAGGGCGGGTTCGAGGGCAGTTGCTAGCATAGAGAGGTGCCTTTGATGGTGATACTTTCTCCACCGGTCAGAGATGATCATTCTCTGGCATTTTCTAGTCCTACCATTACTGTGGACCAAGGATCTACTCCACAGGTTCACCAAGAGTTGGTTGACATGTTTGTTAAGGGGATTTCTCGCAACGATTCTCCGCCTCCTGATCTGGAGGATGAGGTATCAAAGGAGTCAGAGACTAGAGGTAGCTTCTCGACTACCAAGCATATGTTAGCCTGGTGAGATTCCATGCTTACCGAAGGCTCATGTGCCATCACTATTAGCATGCATCTTCATATGAAGCGAAACATGGACTTCCTGTTGGGGGAATCAGAAATTGCGGCAGATATTCCCGATGATAACGCTCTAAAACTATTAAAGGGAATAGATAAAGAGGCAAACGAACTTCCTCGTGTACCCAAGAAAGAGCCAGAGGATGTTACTAATCCCGGGGAAGGTGTCTCCGTGCAAGAATAGAAAGGTGGGTTTCAAATTGCTCCAGATTTTGCCTTGCCTTCAACCAAGGATAATACCATTGCAGGTTCTTCCTCTCTGCCTTTGGAAGCTCCTGGCATCTACATCTTGGAGTTGAGGCTCACTCGAGAATATTTTCTTACGCAACATCCTCTTGCGTATAAGTGGGGCCATCATTCATTCCCTCCCGCTACCATCAAATCCTTGGATCTCCATTCTAACTCTCACATCTCCAACAATCTCTAGTATGTGGCGGCTGCAATGACTCCTTTCTTGGTGGCTGCCGTTCGGTGCCTCCGCCATGTCAATTTAGATTCAGTAGAGCTTGCCTTTTGTATGGCCAATCGGGACGAGCTAAGGACAAAACTGTTGGGGCTAGAGGAGGAGAAGCACAAATTCGATGAGCATTGTGACTTCTTGGTCGGGGATAAGGAATCCATGGAGGAGCAGGTGGCAAAGTTGGATGGGTTGGTGGAGCACTTTTATCAGCGGATTGAAGCCTTGGTGGAGGAGAAGAAGGTGTTAGAGAGCCGAGTGGATGAGTGGTGTAGGGAGCTGGAGGCTGAAGTGTTGAGGAGGAAGACTATGAGGGATGATATGATGTGGCTACTCCAGAAGGGTGTTGTCTGGGTAATGGACAAGATGGTTGAGAGCATTGAGTTCTCGCTTGGGGTTAAGAAGATGAAAGAGGAATGTATGGCTACCGGCATGGTGAGAGGTAAGAAAACGGTGGGGGAGTAGGTGGCTACTGGGAAGTTTGATCCTGGGAGTCAAGCGTCGTCATGGAGCTGACGCAGGCCATGCATGCCTCTACGAAGGATTTTATGGATACGAACATCGCTTCCTATCTCCGCTTGGATGAGCTTGACTTGGTAGGCCTCTGCCAATTGTGCAATGATCCTAATAGCGAGGATGTTCCCCCAAAACATGATCCTTCCAAAGCTGGCATTGCCTCTGATTTGCTTGGTAAGTGACCCTTTCCTCCTCATGGCTTGTTTGTATGAAACAATGTTTGAACTTTTGATGTTCGAGGTATGATGTCTCAAAGACAATATTTTTAATTGTTGTATGGCATTGCATGGCCCTTTTAAGTTTGGAAGTTGTCTGGCTGAACAATTTTTTTGTCTTTTGATAACATGGTATTTCTATTTCTGCAATGCTTTTTCTTTAATCCCAGGTGGTTTATCTTGGCGACTAGTGTGCATATGCCCTTATTTTTCCTTCTTGAGGTAATTCTTTCCCAATTTTATGTTGGCCTCGGGGAGTCGAATCAAGACAATTCTTTTCTTGCTTCGTAATGAATTAGATCTTTTTCCTTGATAGACGAATGTTTGTGTTGGCGATTAAACCATGTTACTAGATTTTCCCAACTTATGACTCTAGGGCTCTTATCTGTTTAGGGTCCTTTAGGATTATTGCAGGATCTTGCACTGGGAACTCGGAATTGGTCCATTCTTTGGGTCGTAGACCATTGTTTCTAGATTAGGGAATTTTGTCTTGTTTTCTTTGTTAAGGTGCCCTTTTTAGCTACGATTTACTGATCACCCTTTTGGGACTTTGTTCTAAGTTCTGGGCCTTGGAGAGTTGCACTCTGGTCCTAATCATCCATATCAAATCGAGATTGTTACTTTGAGGAATTGAGGAATTAGGTATTATTCATTTCAAAGGAAAGCTTATGATCCTTTGAATCCTTTATTCATGTTATGGTCAAGATTTGGGGCCTTTTGGGCGGGATTGACATGATTAGGGAAAGGTTATGAACCTTTTACGCCTATGGTTGCATTCTCACGATGACTTCATTAAAATGATGTGGATGATCAGTCCTTGTTACCATCTGGTAAAAGTGCACAACCTCTTACGTAAACGATATAAAGCTTAAATCATAAAAAAAAATGTTCTAATAGTTTTTTTTGGATAGTAAACTTCCTTCACTTCATTAACAATGTTTTAGAAACATCTAAATTTTTGATGAGTAAAGAAAGAGAGATCACTACTCAAAGCATAAACCAAGGCCTAGCTCTTGGGTTCGCTTCCTAGGGTGTGATTATCCATTCAGAGTTTGACTACATTACCCTCACCTCAGATGTGATTTACTTGGACCTTCCTCCTTGCTCTAACGGTGTTGGTGCGAACTGCGCACACTCCAGGTCTAGGAAATGACATTGTATTGAACTCTTGGGAAGCAAAATTCATCTTAGTATGCTTTCTTGGTCATGCTCGCATGTTCCCTTGTGGCATTCAACTTGCTTTGGGGATGTGCAAGGCTAGACTCATTCTTTTCCAATGTCCAGGCTTCTGCTTTGGAGCTTTCCACTCATATGCACCAAGTGTGGTGATTTTAACCATTTTCCTTGTGGGTGGCTTGACGGAGTCTTACGGTCCTATGTTTCTCATTAAGTATATTCATGTTTAGACGCTGCCTTAATTTGTTGGTGGTTGCACCAAATTTTGGCACTTGCATTGCCCCGTTTTCAATCCCAAGAGGAGATATTGATTTTACGCCTCATGTCATTTTGAAGGGTACTCCTTTGACATCAGGTCTTCGGGGATGGTAATGTAGCTGAGACGTTGTTAGTGGTTCTCCAACCTAGGCTCTTTTTAATCCTGATGAACGATTATCTCTTTCCTGCTTAATGAAACGGCTAGAGGTGAATAGAGAGAACCTAGCTCCTCCTGGGGTGATCGGGGGGTGGCCTCATGACGTATGTTCCCCATTGACCAGGTGGCGATGGTTGTTGTTAAGATTCATGGCGTGTTAGCATTGCTAAAGAATGAGAACTTGGTATTTTGGTCATTCCTTAGCAGCATTTCTAGGAGTTCGATCTTATCTTTGTGTGCGTTGGGCTGGTGTGCTCCTAAGTGAGGCATCCTTACGACAACGATTCTCATGCCTCCTTGCTCTCTGTTTTGCTTGCTTGATACCTTTCTAAGGGAAAGTGCCTTTCTTTTTCAAGTTTTGCCTGCCCTATTGTGAATCACGCAACTTTGGTGCTGGACTTCTTATCATCCAAGAGATCACTTGGAAGAGGCCCATAGAAGGAGTGATCCAATGACCGTTTGTGCTGATTGGGAATTTCTATAGCATTGGTGATCTGTTTTTTTTTGTTGATATGTCTTCCACATAGGGATTTAGTTGGTACCTTCTTGAATTGGAGGTCAAAGTATGTTAATGGAAACCTGGTCGGTGCATTAGTACTCGTGACTGTCTCTTGGGGGGGGTGTCTATTCGACCTTGAATTTTTGCATTGACATGTGTCAATTCTTACTCCGTGCCTTGATATCTTTGGTCCTTCTGATCTGCGGCCTTGTAGGTGACATCAACCCCATTGGTGGTAGATAGAGACTCCCCGACAGTTTGAGACAGTTTTACTCCAGCTTCTTTGTAACGTCCCAAAAATAAGACCGAAAATTTTCATTTTTTAATTTAATAAAATCGATACCCAAATAAATCATCATAAAAACCCATATAAACAAATGTATCGATCAACATATCATATAGAGTAAATTAAAAGATGCAGAACGAGCTGGTGAAAGTGCTCTACAATCATCCAGAGCTCTTTCATTTGGAGCTAGAAGTACCTGAAACACAAACCGAAAACTATAAGAAAAAAGCTTAATGGGTAGCCCAACATACCACTTACCATACATACATAACACATATTGGGTCCCGCCTAAGGAGTGTATCAGGCCCCATCCACACTCGTATGATGGACCCCACCCAATGAGTATGCTGACCCCACCCAATACGTATGACGGGCCCTGCCCAAACTCACATAACGGACACTGCCTACATACAATTCATATAAGCATAACAGGTAATAGTATAGAGCATAACCATTGGGCCACTCCCAGTACACATACAAGCACATACACATACAAGTGTCACACATACATCAAGTATTCTAACATAACAGATCATGGGTTAACATTGGTCCCTTCGACCCACTAAACATGGTGAGGAAACTCACTTCGCAAGAGTTGTCTAAGAGCATCGGCCACTACATTGGCCTTCCCTAGGTGATAAAGGATTTCACAATAATAATGCTTCACCACATCCAACCATTGACGCTGCCCTATATTCAGATTTGGTTGATCCATCAAATACCTCAGGCTCTTGTGATTCGTATAAATAGTATAACAGGACCCATAGAGGTAATGCCACCAAATCTTGAGGGCAAAAACCACAACCCCCAACTCTAAATCCTACACCAGTATAGATAACTCTTGCATCTCGGGAAGAGCCAACTGGTATAGTGTTTTGGTTTATCACGTAAAGTTGCTACTTTACGTGCATGTATGGCTTAATGAAACTCTTAAAGCTCAAAAGGACTTAATAGATGACTTAATTCATGTATGACACCATAAACCCCATAAATTTGGTACCTTTATGCATAATGCACCCCCAAACATCCAGATCTACAAGATTTAGCTTCTAAAATGGCCTTAACCCAACAAGACCAACCATAAGGGGACAACGATGCATAAAACCATAACATGAAGAGATCTAGGAAAGGAGAAGGCAAGGTATGAACTTGATACCTCTAAAGACTTACAAAATAAGTGATGATTATGGATCTCTAAGCTTCACACTAAGCAATGCTAAGCTTCAGACTAAGCAATGCACCTTCAGACTTCTTCAATCCCTTCCAAATGAGCAAAACAAGCACCAACTTCTTCTTAAGAGCTTAAAGACACAATAATGGAGGCTAAGGGTTGAGAGGCTGGTAAAGAGGCCAGCCCTATGGACTTAAAGAGTTTATATAGGGTGGAACAAATAAAAATTAGGGTTTCATTATCCCCTTGTATGCCCACCGTAATCCTCATATGCCCAACGTATGAGGCCTTGGTCCCGCGATCAATCCTACCTAGTACGCTAAGCATACCATGTGGTATACCCTGCATAATTGGTTCTTAGCTAGTACGCTAAAGGTACCTAATGGTATGCCCTACGTACTAACTCCAAGGACAAAAATGCGTAAAAATTAAATACAAGGGGATGGAAAAAACATACGCAATCCGAGTGTTACAATTCTCCATCCCTTGAATTAGACTTCGTCCTCGATGTTCGCTGCCCCGAATATCTTCGGATAGTACTCCCTCATCTCATCTTCCAAAACCCAAGTCCACGCTGAACCCTTCTGGTGCAACCATTGCACCTTCACCAACTCTAAATCCTTGTTCCTCAAGGTATTTGTCTTCTGACCAGAATCGCCACTGGTCTCACAATATAATTCAAGCGGTCATCTACCTGAATATCCTCCAATGGTACCACTACGGAATCATCCACTATGCACTTCCACAGCTGAGAGACATGGAACATGTTATGAATCTGACTGAGCTCATCTGGAAGATCCAAGCAATAAGCAACCCAACTCACCCGAGCCAAAACCCTGAAAGGACCAATGTACCTGGGGCCCAGTTTGCCCCACATCTTGAACTGGATGATACCTTTCCAAGTTGACACCCTTAAGGGAACCATATCTCCCATCTGGAACTCTAAATCTGACGGGCACCTGTCGGCATAACTCTTCTACCAACTCTGATCTATCTGGAGAAAATTCCAAACCTGTTGAACCAGCTCATTGGTCTTAAGTAGCAATTCGGTACTCCCCATAACCCGCTGACCAACCTCACCCGAACAAATCAGGGTCCTACACTTCCTCTCGTAGACCATCTCTTAAGGAGACCAATTAATGTTGGCATGATAACTGTTGTTATATGAAAATTCCGCTAAAGGAATATACGTATCCCAACTCCCACCGAAATCCAGAACACATGCCCACAACATATCCTCTAGGGTCTGAATGCTATGCTCACTCTGAACATTGGTCCAAGGATGAGATGGAGTGCTGAAATGGAGACGAGTGCCCAACTCGTCATGGAACCTCTTCAATAACCTGGAAGTAAACCGGACATCTCTATCAGAAACCACCAAAAACGACACTCTATGACGTGCCACAACCTCCCTAATATG